CAAAACAATGTTGCCTACTGGTGCTTTAAGGAAGCCTTTCCTTTAGTTAACACTCATTTATTAGATATGATCAATATATCCTTATTAACAGGCTATGTACCACAGTCTTTTAAGGTAGCTGTAATTAAACTTCTCCTAAAAAAGCCCACCCTGGATCCAGAGGTGTTAGCCAACTATAGACCAATATCTAATCTTCCCTTTATGTCAAAGATCCTTGAGAAAGTAGTCGCAGACCAGCTGTGTGATTTTCTCCATGATAATAATTTATTTGAGGAATTTCAGTCAGGATTTAGAGTGCATCATAGCACTGAGACAGCACTAGTTAAAATTACAAATGACCTTCTGATTGCTTCAGACAAAGGACTTGTCTCTGTACTTGTTTTATTAGATCTTAGTGCGGCGTTTGACACAATTGACCATCAAATTCTACTGCAGAGACTGGATCACTTAATTGGCCTAAAAGGTTCTGCACTAAGCTGGTTTAAATCTTATTTATCTGATCGTTTTCAGTTTGTTGACGTTCATAATGAATCATCCTTACGTACCAAAGTTTGTTTTGGAGTTCCGCAAGGTTCTGTGCTCGGACCAATCCTATTTACTCTATATATGCTTCCTTTAGGTAACATCATTAGAAATCACTCTATAAATTTCCATTGTTATGCGGATGATACTCAGTTGTATTTATCGATGAAGCCAGAAGAAAGTAATCAATTAACTAAACTCCATAACTGCCTTAAAGACATAAAAACTTGGATGAGCACCAATTTCCTGATGTTAAATTCAGACAAAACTGAAGTTATTGTTCTTGGCCCCAAACAACTCAGAGACTCTTTATCTGATGACATAGTTTCTCTAGATGGCATTGCTCTGGCCTCTAGCACTACCGTAAGAAACCTCGGAGTAATATTTGATCAAGATTTGTCTTTTAATTCTCATTTAAAACAAACCTCACGGACTGCATTTTTTCATCTGCGTAATATTGCGAAAATTAGGCCTATCCTGACCCGAAAAGATGCAGAAAAATTGGTCCACGCTTTTGTTACCTCTAGGCTGGATTACTGTAACTCTCTATTATCAGGTAGCTCTAGTAAGTCCTTAAAAACTCTCCAGCTAATTCAGAATGCAGCAGCACGTGTACTAACAGGAACTAAGAAACGAGATCATATTTCTCCTGTTTTAGCTTCTCTGCACTGGCTCCCTGTAAAATCCAGAATTGAATTTAAAATCCTACTGTTAACTTATAAAGCTCTAAATGGTCAAGCTCCGTCATATCTTAGAGAGCTCATAGTGCCATATTATCCCACCAGAACACTGCGCTCTGAGAACGCAGGGTTACTCGTGGTCCCTAAAGTCTCCAAAAGTAGATCAGGAGCCAGAGCCTTCAGCTATCAGGCTCCTCTCCTGTGGAATCATCTTCCTGTTACGGTCCGGGAGGCAGACACCGTCTCCACATTTAAGACTAGACTTAAGACTTTCCTCTTTGATAAAGCTTATAGTTAGGGCTGGCTCAGGCTTGCCCTGTACCAGCCCCTAGTTAGGCTGACTTAGGCCTAGTCTGCCGGAGGACCCCCTATAATACACCGGGCTCCCTCTCTCTCCCTCTCTCTCTCTCTCTCTCTCTCTCTCTCTCTCTCTCTCTCTCTCACTCTCATCCTATTACTGCATCTTGCTAACTCGGCCATTCTGGATGTCACTAACTCGGCTTCTTCTCCGGAGCCTTTGTGCTCCACTGTCTCTCAGATTAACTCATATCACAGCGGTGCCTGGACAGCGTGACGTGTGTGGTTGTGCTGCTGCCGTGGTCCTGCCAGATGCCTCCTGCTGCTGCTTCCATCATTAGTTATTAGTCATATTTCTACTGTTATTATACACATATTGTGTGACTATTGTCACACATGTATACTGCCACATATTAATATGTACTTTCAACATATTGTACCACAGTAGCCAGAACTATAACTATAATATTATTACTTTAAATAATGTTGTAAGCTACTGTCATTTCCTGCATCTCTCTCTCTCTCTCTGTCTCTCTCTCTGTCTCAATGTGTCATGTGGATTACTGTTAATTTATTATGTTGATCTGTTCTGTATGACATCTATTGCACGTCTGTCCGTCCTGGAAGAGGGATCCCTCCTCAGTTGCTCTTCCTGAGGTTTCTACCGTTTTTTTTCCCCCTGTTAAAGGGTTTTTTTGGGGAGTTTTTCCTGATCAGCTGTGAGGGTCATAAGGACAGAGGGATGTCGTATGCTGTAAAGCCCTGTGAGGCAAATTGTGATTTGTGATATTGGGCTTTATATATAAAATTGATTGATTGATTGGCATCATCCAATCCATTACTTTTTCCCTTCCATCTGAGCTAGATGTCACAATGTTACAGAGTACAGTTTATGCAAATCAAACAAACAAACAAACACATTTTCAGTCAAATAAAATCCTCTTTAATTTATTTTAATATCTTTGATCACGAGACATTTTGTTACATGAAGGTTCATGTTCCACTGCTGGAACTGGTCTATATACTCTGCATTTATGTACGAGTTATAAACTTTAATTATTGGATTTAATTCTTTCTATATTAAATTCAAATAAAATTCAATTCAATTCAATAATTCTGATGTACACTGTTTACCTAAGGGACTGTTCTTTATTTATGAGGGAGAGGGGTGGTGCAAAAAGGGGGAGGCATGTCACATAATTTTGTAAGCACTTTGGAGGAACTTATTTTTTATTTTGGCTCAGGGGAGGGGCATACAAATTTAAATGGTTCTATTTTGTATTTATTTTGCCACTGATTTTTAACATGCCTTTGAAGGCAAGTTTTCTGTAAAATTTTTGCCTTTTTTTCTTTGGAAAACATTTGCTTGTTGTTTTTTGTTTTGTTTTGTTTTTTCTTAAAAACTTAACAACAGCAATTTTTATTTATTTATTTTTTTGCGATTTGGGTTTAGAGGACATGTTTTGAAATTTTTTAAAGAAACATGCTGTTCAAACCTGAGTAAGGTTTGAAAGGCATATTTACTCAAGACATTTTTGCTGATAATTTTTTTTCTTTCCAAAGATTTGGCATCTTTGTTTGTCATTAATTTTTTTTTCTAAAAACTTTTTTGGCAATTAAGAAGAAAAAAAAAGAAAAGAAAAAAAAAACTGCCTTCCAAACCTTACTTGGGTATATTCACTAGCAATTGTATTTTATTTAAAAGATTTTGGCAAGTTTTTTCTTTAAACATTTTTGGCAATTTTTATTTCAGTAAAACTTCATTAAGTGTTAACTTTAAATAGAGGTTTGTCATGAAAATCACTACCTTCTACATCTCTTTGATGTTTGAAAGTTAAAAGCTGGAGATGAAATCCTGGAGTTGAATAAAAGGCTGTTTTTCACTCTCATTGTGCAAACGGTTTAATTTCTCATTTTAAATGAGATGTAGAATAAAGTGTAGAAAGTGTAAAGTAGAAACTAAAACTGGCAAAAAAAATGCAATGAAAAAAAATTGCCCAAATATTTTTAAAGAATAAAAAAATGCCCAAAATTTAAAAGAAAATATTTTCTGAAATGGCCAAAACCTTTCAAAGTAAATATGCCCTCCAAACCAAACATGGATTTGAAAAAGTTTTCATTAAAAACAAAATTTGCCAAAAGTTTTTGCAGAAGACATACCTTAAAAACCTGCCTTGGGAAGATAATTTCTGTTCTTCCAGTTTCTGGCTGTGATAAATGGAGTAAATTTGGTGATTTTTTTTTTTTTTTTTGAAGAAAACATGCAGTGGTTAGGTTTAGAATATGCCTTCTAAAGCTAGTTCTGGTTTGGAAGGCATATTTTCTTTAAAAAAATAAAAAATCGCAAATGGCTAATGAGAGGGTATACTGTCAATGGCCAGAAAAAGAGGTGGGTATACCCCCTTTACCTGGGTGCACCCTCCACTACACCACTAAGTTTAGTTTTTCTTTTAAATTCATAAATACCATTGGGAACTCGAAATTCTGAATATTAATATGGCTATCAAAAATAACTGATTAATTTGATCTATCAACTTAGAACTTTGATAGATAATTAAAATAGTAACTATAACCAAAATGAACATATTAAAAATAAAGGTTGAAGGATTTTGACACAGCAGTGAGCGGATTCATTCCCTCTTGTATAACATTAAACAGACAGGAAGTCTGAATCAGAAGTATTTATTCACAATAAAGCAGTAATACAAACACAAACATACAATCTAAATAAATCTAACTGAAGACACAAAGGATGTGTTTGTATGTTTGTGTGTGAGAGACGTTTTGTAAATACGCACAAGGACAAAATGGCTGACAACAGAGAAAACTACAAAGAAGACAGCACTTTGGGTTCCCTTTCTGAGAGTAGCAGCCAAATTAGAGCATCTGTGATCTATATTTTACAAATGTGCCGGGTCAGTAAAAAGCTAGTTGAAAGCTTACTAGCATCAATTTAGCTTTAGCAAAGCTAACCCCATAACCCAACTATAAAAAGTTCTCAGCAATAAAACCCGACTACAGTCGTCAAATTAATACATGCTACACTGACTAGACAGTCTTGCTTCACCTGTACTGTTAAATGAATTCAATGCCCAGTTGTTAGATTGCAAGTCCACGAATGGCTACTTGCCAGCCAATGATCCTGTCCAAAGCTGGTAAGAATAATAATTCTAGGTGTACTCTTTACTGTGCTATGTTCCAGTATTAATGCTATGCCCACTTGTTACGTTTTCAGTCCATGCATGGCTGCTTGCTGGCCGATGATGGTTCTAGATGTAGTCTTTACAGTGCTGTATTCAGGTGTCGCAGGTCAGATAGTCTGAGTGGGCAGAAGTTTGCTGCATAGATCAGCCTCTCATTGGGCGGAACGAGCCACCCGCTGAAGTCCCGCCCTACCACCTCCGGTTGTGTAGCAGTTTTCATCCGTTTTCAACACGTCCTTTACTAACTTTTGCTGTGTTTGATCTTGTGGGGATTTAGCCATTTTTCTGCTATGGTTCGCGTCCTGTAGGTGATATTTTTGTGGGCGTGTTACACCAAAACCTGTTTCCCCCCAGCAATATTTTTGCAAGTGCACCGCTGCTGTGACACTGCCCAGAATGATTGTGATTGGTTCAAAGAAATACAAGCAGCCAGGGCGTTTTTTCTCCAATCTTAAAGTGAATGTCGGCGCAGCCAGACCTTTCTTTTCTTGAGAAAGGTCTGGGGAGTGAGACTACAGGTCAGATGGATCTGGTCTCTTTGTCCTTACAGAGTTAGCAGCTTGGCACTAACTTGCATTTGTTTATCTTGTTGCTTGGACAGTTAACTTGAAAACTTTGCAGCAGTGACCATTGGTGAATGACAACTGGCTGCATGGGCGGAGGTTTGAAAAGAGAAGGACTCTGGAAAATGGAGTTCAAATGCTGTCATAAGTACAAATAATGTATGCAATTTTAAATTTCAAATGTTACAAGTACACAGAAAAAAGTTGCTTCATGCTCTTTACAAAGATGTTGTTCTTATCTGTTCAGATAAGCTGCTGGCTGGAGGCTCCACCTCTCTGTTCTCCTCAGTTTGATGAAGTTCCAACGACTGACCACCAACACATTTGTGTCTTTTGACGCGTGGCCGCCAGGCAAATCTTTTGTTACAAACCCCACAGCTGAATTTTTTCTCCCCGGTGTGGACCGCCATGTGGCGCGTCAACTGCACCTTCTCTATAAAACCTTTACCACAAACTGAGCAACTGTAGGGTTTCTCCCCAGTATGGGTCCTCATGTGTCTCTTCAGACCGCCGCTTTCAATGAACCCTTTACCGCACTCTGAACAGTTAAACAACTTCTCTCCTGTGTGAGTTCTCATGTGTTTCTTAAGATATCCGCTGTCAATGAAATCCTTGCCACACTCGGAGCAGCTGAACGGTTTCTCTCCTGTGTGTTTCATCATGTGCGTCATCAGACGCGGCTTGCACAAAAAATGCTTCCCACAAACGGAGCAGCTGAACAGAATTTTTCCGGTGTGAACGCTCATGTGTTTCTGTAAACTCACATTCTGAGCATACGACTTCTTACAAATCAAGCAGCTAAAAGTTTTTTCTCCTGTGTGAGTTCTCAAATGTTTTTTCAGATTTCCGTTATCAATAAAACTTTTACCGCAAACTGAGCAACTGAAGGGTTTCTCTCCCGTGTGGATTCTCATGTGTTTCTGTAAACACCCGTTCAGCGCAAAAGATTTCTTGCACACTGAGCAGCTGAATGGTTTCTCTCCTGTGTGAGTTCTCATGTGTCTGTTCAGAGAAGCTTTTGCGGCAAATTTTTTCCCACATTCAGAGCAGCTGAATTCTTTCTCTCCAGCAGAAGATCTTGCGTTATTGGCAGGTACTTTGTCGTTTTTCAGGGAGGTTAAACCTGATGGAGGTTCTCTGGTGTCTGTCCAATCATTACTGTCGTCAGTCTCAGCTTCAGAAGAGTCTCTGGGCACTGGTCGTACTCCACCACAGTGGTCTCCATCAGCTTGTGTTTGATGAAGCTGTGAGGACTGAGGTTTCTCTTCATCATCTTCACTCTTCACAGGGCCAAGAGCGAATGGGAACTTGATGTCAGCCTCCTTCAGCCCTTCAAGCTGCTCCCTCCGATCTGATTCCGAATTCCTAGCTGATTCTGGTCCTCCACAGTCCTCTGCATCAGCTTCTATTTTTATCTGTTTTGACTCCACCTCTTTGTTCTCCTCAGGTTGACAAAGTTCTGATGACTGACGTCCGACACATTTGTGTCTCTTGACCCGTGGACGCCAGGCAAATCTTTTGTTACAAACACTGCAGCTGAATCGTTTCTCCCCCGTGTGGACAGTCATGTGGAGCGTCAGCTGAATCTTTTGTATAAAACTTTTACCACACTCAGAGCAGCTGAATGGTTTCTCTCCTGTGTGAGTTCTCATATGTTTCCTCAGGTTCCCGCTGTCAACAAAACCTTTACCGCAAACCAAACAGCTGACCGACTTCTGTCCTGTGTGAATCCTTGTGTGTCTTTTTAGATTCCCTCTTTGGGTGAAACCTTTCCCACACACCGAGCAGCTGAATGGTTTCTCTCCTGTGTGATTTATTGCATGTTTCTTCAGATGCGTCTTGCACAAAAATTGCTTCCCACAATCCAAGCAGCGGAATAGTTTCTCTCCCGTGTGAGCACTCAAGTGGTTCTGCAAACTCACATTCTGCGCGAAGGATTTCTTACAGACCAAGCAGCTGAATGTTTTCTCTCCCATGTGAGTTTTGAGGTGGACCTTCAGGTTTCCCCGTTCGACAAAAGCCTTACCGCACATAGAGCAGCTGAATGGCTTCTCTCCTGTGTGAATTCTCATGTGTTTTGCTAAACATCCGCTCTGCGCAAAAGATTTGGTACACACCGAGCAACTGAAAGGTTTTTCCCCCGTGTGAGTTCTCATGTGTCTCTTCTGACTCGTTTTGGTTGAAAATTTTTGGCTGCAAATGGAGCAGCTGAACGGTTTCTCTCCTGCATGAACTGCCATGTGGATCTTCAGATGTGTCTTGGTTCTAAATCTTTTCCCACACTCAGAGCACCCAAATGGTCTCCCACCAGCTCTACATCTGGTCTTACTGACTTTCTTCACAGAGCCTGAAACTGTCTGAGGTTCTTTGGTCTCCGTCCAATCATCGTCACTGTCACCAGGTTCAGAAGAGTCTGAAGTCTCGGAGGAGCTAAAGGGGTTTTCACCAGAGATAGAAGTCATAGGACCGACTGGGACTTTATTTTTATTGCGAGTCTTTAAACCTGACTGAAGTTCTCTGGTCTCGTCCCAGTCATCAAGACTGACTTCTATCTCAGCAACTAAAGAACTGTCAGGCTTCTTGTCGTCATCATCCTGTTGTAAATCTGGATCAGCGTCTCCGGGCACTGGTCGTACTCCTCCACAGTGGTGTCCATCAGCTTGTGACTGATGAAGCTGTGAGGACTGAGGTTTCTCTTCATCATCTTCACTCTTCACAGGGACAGGAGTGAATGTGAACTTGGTGATATCAGCCTCCTCCAGCCCTTGAAGCTGCTCTCCCTCCTGACTGCTCCACAGTTCCTCCTCTTCCTCTTTAATGTGTGGGGGCTCTGGGTCCTCCTGGTCCACACTGGAGCTCCACTCCTGCTGCTCAGGGGGAACCTCTTCTTTAACCACCAACAGTTGCTGCATGTCTGCAAAACACAGGAAACACAAACAATAACTTTAATGAACTGTATAGAGGTACCACAACAAAAATTATACTCTTAAAGAAAGCCATTGTCAAGAATTTGTGGTACTTGGAACCTTGTGCACGGCCATCTTTGTTTTCATCAAGGCTTATGTCACAAGAATGATTGTTGACTTGGAACACTAAGTTCAACTCTTTGTCAGACTAGATAAGAGTCGATACAATTTAGTCTCAGAGTCGTGATGAGATAAAAAGAACCACGGACAAAGTCAAAAACCGAATTTCCAATGTTTTTTGACCCAGCAAGACTTAAGGTAGTGGCAAGACCTGTTCCCATGGCGTCAGACAACATCTGCCAAAATGAAAGGATACCTAATTTTGGAAGTTAGTGAGTTCTCTTATGGCCTCTTTCCAGAACTGCCACAGTCAAGGTTGCTTTCTTGGTAGGATGGATCCTTCAAGTTGGGTTCTACAGAGGCTAGTCAAGACTCCCTTCTAGCAAGTGCCAAGGGGGGCACCATTAACAAGGCCCTGCCTTTAATTCTAGCAAATCATGCACAAAGAATTTTGGGTACTTCATGTCCACTGAGGATACAAACATGAATCCTTGAAAATTCTCTGAGGGAAGGACTCACCAACACTGGACAACAGAAGATTCCCACCAAAAGATCCTTCGAGGTCCTTCGGTGGGAATCTTCTATTGTTATTTTGGTGAGAAAACCCGTGTGAATTGTAGCCTCAGTTTCCTGTTGTTAGCTGACAGGAGTGGCACCTGGTGTGGTCTTCTGCTGCTGTAGCCCATCTGCTTCAAGGTTGGACAAGGTGTTGTTGCTTCAGAGATGGTCTTCTGCACACCTTGGTTGGAACCAGTGCTTATTTGACTTCCTGTTGCCTTTCTATCATCTTGAACCAGTCTGGCCATTCTCCTCTGACCTCTGACATCAACAAGGCATTTTGGCTCACTGGATATTTGCTCTTTTTGGGACCATCCTCTGTAAACCCTAGAGATGGTTGTGCTGAAAATCCCAGTAAATACTCAGAGCAGCCCGTCTGGCACCAACAACCATGCCACGTTCAAAGTCACTTGAGGTTGTTTTCTTGCAGTAATCTTGTTGCTTTAACGATCACTAACCTGTACTAGACTACAGTCTTCACCTTTCTGGTTTTGGTGTCATGGTTGGAACGTTGGTGAGCACAGCCCAATGTAGTTCCAGCTGAGACAGGTAACCTTAACAGGTCAGATAAGTAGTTTTTTGACAGTCAGCAGCCCTGGACAAGTCTGCCGTCCAACTGCACTCAGACTCTTAGTCTACCTAGCACGTAGCAGCAACTCTAGCCAGCAGTGCCAAATAAGATCCTAGGACACTCAGTTGCAGCCCTGACAACGCAAGCTCACCTCGCTATGGGATCATAAGTATATTCTTTAAAAGCTTGAAGATCCACTCATTACTAAAAAAAGTCTGTCATCCAAGAGAGACAATGTATATCTATATANGCTCAGTGGAGACAGCAGGCGCCCCATGTACAAGGTTGTTGCCGCAGGGGCCCGGGTTCAACTCCAGCCTGTGGCCATTTCCTGCATGTCACTCCCCTTCTCTCCCCCTTTCACACTTGTCTGTCTGTCCTATCGATTAAAGGCTAAAATGCCCCCAAAAAAATCCTAAAAATATATATACATATATATATATACATATATAGATACATATATATACACATATATATATATGTGTATATATATATGTACAGTATATATATATATACAGGTTTGAAAAAAGAGTAACTAAAATGTCTGTCAAACATAAATGACATGACCAAAAATGCTATTAAATAAAAAATTTCCGAAAATGTTGAAATGTCTTAAAATATTAGTAAATTTAAAAAAAGTTGGTAAAATGTAAAAAGAAAATGATAAAATGTCCAAAAAAATGATTAAAAGGTTAGAAAAAAATGTGTTAATGAAATGTAAAAAAAGTTAAAGAAAAAAATATTGATAAAATGAACAAAAAATGTTGATAAAATGTGTAAAACATTTTCATGAAATGTTAAAAAAAAGGGATAAAATGTGCAAAAACACCCCAAAAAGTTAATAAAACCTCACCGTTGCAGCAGCTGCTCCTCTCGTCCATCGGTCTGATCATATCAGCTCTGATTGGATCGACTGATCAATGATCCACCCTGCGACTCAGAACTCCACACATTCCTGCTGACGGGAAAAAAAAGTGACTGACCCACAGAAACCTCAGAATTGAAAGAGCGAACACATCTATAACAGGGACTGTCAGCTTTTAACATGTAAATACTTTCACATGCTGTGGTCATATCTGTCATACAGCAAGGTTTATTCATTATTCTATATTTATTCCTGCATCCTGTCACTGTACTGCTGTCCACCAATCAACCAGACTGACTGATCATTGATCCTGATTATTGATCGGTCATTTCATCCATAAATGCTTTCAAATGTTAAATGAGTGTAAACTAACTTCCTATGTAGAAAGAGAAAAAAGGTTTAAAGTAAATAAAAATGTTAAAGCCAAATAAATATATAAAAAGGGCTTTTGGCCCAATAAAAAACAGTTTTAGGCCAAAAGCATATATAAAAGGTTTAAAGCCAGAGAAGAAAAAAGAAAATGAAAAGGTTTAAGGCCAAAAACATATTTCAAAAAAGGGAAAAAAGGTTATAAATGTATATACAGTACAGGCCAAAAGTTTGGACACACCTTCTCATTCAATGCGTTTTCTTTATTTTCATGACTATTTACATTGTAGATTCTCACTGAAGGCATCAAAACTATGAATGAACACATGTGGAGTTATGTACTTAACAAAAAAAGGTGAAATAACTGAAAACATGTTTTATATTCTAGTTTCTTCAAAATAGCCACCCTTTGCTCTGATTACTGCTTTGCACACTCTTGGCATTCTCTCCATGAGCTTCAAGAGGTAGTCACCTGAAATGGTTT